TTTGCAAAATTTCGATCCGGCAATTTTGATGTTGAAGATGCACCACGTTCTGGAAGGCCAGTTGAAGCTGATGAAGACACAATAAAGGCATTAATTGATGCAAACCGGCGAATAACAACTCGTGAGATCGCTGAGAGATTAAATTGATCGAATTCGACCGTTCATGATCATTTGAAACGCGTCTGATTGAAAATCGTCTTTCATTTTCATAAGAAAAAACGAAATTACTTTCCGAACAACCTAGATGAAAGAAACAGGTACAGATTAGACGAGGGGAAATGTTTTAGATGCGGATCCAGGTTGATCTGCGGACCCGGTTTCATCCTGGACCCGGTGACCGGACAGTATTGCGTCGACGTGGACGAATGTCGGGAGGGAACGCACGAGTGCGGGAAAAATCAAGTCTGTGAGAATCGACGAGGCGGGTATCACTGCATCTGTCCGCCTGGTCACGCAGTCGGTCCCAACAACGATTGCGTCGACATCGATGAATGTAGTTACGCTATTGGTATTTGCGGACCGAACAGCCGCTGCGAGAACACCGTTGGCTCCTTCAAATGTCTATGTGGGGAAGGTTTCGAAAACGTTGGGGAAGCGTCCGGTACCTGCCAAGTGAGTCACGTCGTACAATTCGAATAGATTACTAACACTCTAGATTATAATACTCTGGAACAGTCTCGTCTCGAAATTTAATCGCGATCGCTTCCAGGACGTCGACGAGTGTCAGCGAACCCCGGGACTCTGTCAACACGTGTGCTTCAACGTGTGGGGCAGTTATCGATGTGGATGCCAAGCTGGATTCAGGCTAAATGCCGACAATCGTTCTTGCAGCGACATTGACGAGTGCACGGAGTTCAAGGACAGCCATCTCTGCATCGGTATCTGCGAGAATACTCCGGGAAGCTATGCGTGCAAATGTCCCGAAGGATATAGGCTCGGTAACGACGGTCGAACGTGTCAAGGTGATGATTTTTCGATCTCTACGTATACTCTAGAAAAGCAATTGTACGAAAAATTAATTAAATGAAGATGCTGAACGATTAGATTAAATTGAGATACTTTGTGTGAAGAAAGAAAATACGTACGATTCAAAGGCTGGCATTAGACTGGTTTGTGAATCAATGCGATCGAAAGCGAGAGCTCGTTTACGTGAGTCAGTGGTGTCGTAGCTTCGTGATCGCATTCCACCTACTTATCTCGCAGTTAAAACAGCGATGCAATTTGTACTTGACCCGTTTGCCAGCGAACTGGAGCATCAGCTCGGGTCACCGGTGCGCACGAATGTTCCTGCAATCTCCTCGATCTCGCGCAATCACGGCCGCGTCGTTAGCGGTCACGATATCGTTACGTACTGTAACGTACTTAATTGTTCTCTACAACGTGTGTTCGCAGATATCGACGAGTGCGAGGCAGGCCAAGTGTGCAGGGATGCGGAAGAGACGTGCCAGAATACGCGCGGAAGTTTCCGATGTAATCGGATAAACTGTCCCTCGGGGTACCATCGGGACCCCATGAGAAAAAAGTAAATGTTTGAACTTGGGATAGAGATAATAGATTTAATTTTCCCTAACTTCAATTCTCGACATACGTCACATATTCGTGATATATACGCGTTTGAATTAATTTCGAATATGTAAGTAATTATTTAATCGACTTGATGATCAATCCGTAAAGTAGGATATTAAAAAGGGACGGGCGTTTGTAGATTTTTTTACCTCCCGGGTACAATAAAGTTATCGAAAAGTTTGGGGAACACCTCGAAAAGTTAAACGAGAATATTGAAATTTGGAAATATCATCATTCGTGCTCGACTTTCGAAATGTTTCCCAAACGCTGAAAAAAAAAAAAAAAAAAAAAAAAGAACATTATTCCTTCTACTTTTAGCCGCTGCGTACGCTCCTCGAGGTTTTGCCGCATGGACGACCTGGCTTGCCTTCGGTCGCCCTCGCATTATTCCTACAACTTCATTACCTTCGTGAGCATGCTGCCCATGCCGTCCACTGGTCAACTGGAGCTGTTCACTATGCGAGGAAGTTATCAGTCCGAATCGACGGTACATTTCACCATGGCGTTGGTAGACGTGCGCGCACCACCGGGTGTCGAACGCGCCACGGAGTCCTGCTTTGCCCTGAAGAGACCGGCGCCGTCGCAGGCGGTCCTGGTGCTGACGCGCACGATTCCTGGACCGCAGGAGATCGAGCTGGATCTCACGATGGAGATCTATCAAGACGCTACATTCGTCGGAAGTGCCATCGCTAAGATCCTCATTTTCGTCTCGCAATACGAATTCTGAGAAGGCCTTTTGAACGAAGATAAAACGCAGATGAACAAAGATGGAAGTTAAAGTCGTAAAAATAAAACGACGTAATTTAGAAGTACGCTTAATTGTCCGATCTACGTGATTTGCCTCTTCTTCCATAGTGTTACTGTCATCATAAGAGCAAGAAGCGTTTTATATTCAAATCTTGTTTTACGTTAAACATTATGTACGTGCCAGCTGCTCCTCCGGCTGCTCCTCCGGCTGCTCTGGTTCACCCTGTATAAACGAACTTTTTTCTTTTCCAAGGTAATAAAATGTAATTACCATTTTAAGCGACATATGTTTTTCGAACTAATAAAACGGATCTTTTTTTTCATTTTCTGCTCATTTTTAAAAGTATAAGTATATGAAAAATAAATATAACACGAGCTAGCATTTGGGTCGTAGATATGTAAAAAGACGAATTAAATGTATATATAGATTTCTGTAAGTTAACACACATAAGGGATATAGCACAAAATAAACTTGTGTTAGATGATATATGAAATTTATAATAATCTCCACTTGATACTTTATAAAATCGCAGCTTTATTAAATGTTTCACTAGCGACACACTCTCCTCCCTCTAATTTACACGGTCCGCTGTTCGTAATCGGAACAACGCCTCTATTGCTTCAAATCTAACTCTTCGCTTCTCCTTCACAGAAGACGAATAAAGCAATAAATCTGAGATCCTTAGTGTTAATTGCCGCTTCGTTGCATGATACGCGCGTTAATGTATATAATGTTATATATATATATATATA